TCCAATGACGGTTTACAAAAATAATCTTATAATATTAAGCATAATAACTCATAATAAAGGACATAACCGGAATTCTAGATATTAGCCTTATAATCCTATAGTTTAGAATATAATACTACACGCTAGGAATCCTACATGATTACATTTTAGGAATCTTATTAGTATAATTACTTTCGGGCTGTCTAATTCATATAAAATTGAACAAGTAAAAATTTTTAGTCATGTAATCCTATTATTTTTAGGATATACTTCTTAAAAATTTCAATTACTAATTTAATTTGAAAACGTATTACAATGTCCTATTACTAACTTAATTTGAGAATGTATTATATTGTCCAAATCCATTTAGAAAAAGGAGAGCTTATATTATTATAAAAGCATAAATATAATATTAATATACCAAATAGCCCTAAAATATTAAGCGGAAGAACTCATAGAGAAAGGAAATAACTACAATAACCTATTTTTTGGACTGCAATACCTTCTAATTTAATTTTTAATATTTAAAATTTTAAAATTAATAAAATTTTATCTATTAAATTCTTATTAAAAATTTGTAGGTAGGCTTAATAAAATTAATTTCATAAGAATCCTCCGTATTGGCAATACATTACCACTCCATAATATCCAATATCAATAAAAAATAAAAATAATATTAAATGGACTGCATAAAGAGTTGAAATTGAGAAGAACAAATACCCACAATAATATATTTTTATATTATGTTTGAACTATTTTCCTACTCAAATAATATTTTTTATTCAAATTTTCGTGTAATATTAAAAAAATACCCAATTATTGACCAACAACTAAGAAAATATTTAAGAATATAAATGTGTGAGAAAGAGAAAAAAAATGGTTGGTAAGAGTCAATACCACTAATGATTCTACAAACATAACAATCTAAAAGTGAAATATCATATCAATCTTTTACTCTTTGGAAATAAATATTATGGTCGATAAAATTATAATTAAGATTAAATATTCAAAACAAGAGATGAACTAATATTAAGATATGAATCAACATAGAATAAATTATTTTTTATGTTAAATCAAATAATTAAATCTTTTAATTTAAATTTAGCAAGAGAATCCAATTCAATTATTTTTAAATTCATCGTATGAGTACAATTCTTATTCAAGTTTTAAAAAAAAATCTTAGGGTACATAAATTTATTCCGTAAAAAGAGCGTTAGAACAAAAAGTAAAAAGGTTAGTATATTATTAAGAATCAAAATGCTATACAAGTGTCTAAGGAAGCACAATCAAAGCCAAATTCTAATCTCCTTAACCAGTGGTCTCGAGTTCGAGCCCTGGGTATGGAGTCGCCTTTGTTAGGGAGCGCTTTACCCCCAATGTGGGACTTCCCGGCGCGAATTCAGATTAGTCGGTCCCCAATGTGGGTACCCGATACCGGATGAGAAATCAAAAAAAAACAAGCCAAATTCTAATCAAGAATAAGCTTTCAAGACTATATTATAAAGAGACAACTCTGGTATAACGAGATTATTCTTTGTAGATGCCTCCGGCGGAATCGAAATAATATTTCTATTTCATGCATTACTTGGAAATATCATATCAAGAGGCATGACATTGTTACAAATAATAGCAAGTGGTGTGCCAACAACGATTTTATTATGAGGTCACCCACTTTAGATTTGATATACCTTTTCAAACAACTTAAATAACCATCACAAATATATCAAAGCAGAGCAATGATGCTAAATTTAAAAGGAAAGCAAAATTAATAATATGGGATGAAGCACTTATGGCTAAGTGTCAGACGATCGAAATAATTGCCCGGAGTTCTAGAGATATATTGGATATTAATGAACAGTTTGGTAGAAAATTAATGGGTTGGGAGGTGATTTCTGTCAAGTACTACCGGTAGTTCCAAAATCAACAAAAGCAGAGACCGTAAAAGCTAGCTTGCCAACGTTATATTTCTGGCCTCAAATGAAAAAGATTCAACTACCAAGAAATATAAAGTAAGAACAGATCCAATATTTAATGTATTCTTGCTTCGTGTCGAAAACGAAGAAGAGCATCCAATAAAAGATGATTTGGTTCTTCTTGAACAGTTGGTTATCAATCCCAATGGTAATGGAAGTGCATTTAATAAGAGAATTATTTTTATCATTAGATTAAAATGTAATTTTATATGAATCGCATGATAGAATTAACAAGATATCTTAGCTAGCAGAAATGAATATGTTGATCAACTAAATAAAAGGTTGATTGCAAAATTTTATGGTAAAAACAAAATGTTTTTCAATTTTGGACTCAGCAAAAAAATGATATCAATAATTACTACCAAGAAGAATACTTAAATACCAAATGACCATACATATTTGTTGTGAAGTTTATTATTTCATAAGTATGTTAGTGTCACCGCATATATAATAGACTAAGTTAAAATTGAAATTTCACTGTATATAGGTTAATCTTGATGAAAAATATGCCCGTCATACTACTGAAAAATTTAGATATGCCGAATAGCTTATGTAATACCACACAAATGGTATATAGAAGTTTTGACAATAACATCATACACATACTGGTCAATATGCTTCTAAGTATATTCTTATACTCGAATCCAACTTCCGTCTTCCGAAACTAAGGAATATCCTTTTACATTTGTGTGAAAATAATTTTTAGTATGTTCATGTATTGCAAATATAATAAATAAAACACAAGGACAAATATCCTAAATATTGGACTATTATATTTTCTTGCATGAACAACTGTCAAGAGGGGCATCAAGATCGACAACAAAAGTTCTGATTAAGGAAGAGCAACCAAAGTATTAGGAGAAAACATACACAAAACAATATTGTCCATAAAGAAGTGTTCGTTAAGATATCATCACATTAAATAAATTTAAACTATAATACATAGTTATCCAACTAACATGACAAAATTGATCATTTGTATAAGTTTTGATGATGTCCTTTTATTTTAAATTTATGTATTATGCTAATGTAAAAATATTTTTCGGCATTTAGATGATTGTTGTATTATTATACATAAAATATCTCTCATTAATTATATTTTATTATTCCTTTATATAAATGAATATTTTAAATCATCACATGTCATTATTAACGTGCAACGCACGTTCATAGATACTAGTCCACTTAAAAGGCGTTACAAGCATATGAATTTTGAAATGCATTAGAAATTATGGCCAATATCTATCTGCACATGTAATTTTTGTTATTTCGAATTAACTTTCAACTATATTTTAACTCTATAATTTTTACTTTGAATGATTAATTTAATGAAGACATCTTAAATATAACATCAGTTCGCGCGTGGAGCGTTGCGATATCCCAGCGAAGATTCAAAAGAAGAATCCTGTTGAAGTAGGACACATAAATTTGAGAGATTCAAGGGATCAGTGGGACCCAAATGATGACGAGATTCCAACGTACTTGCCAGTTATGAGCTGAATCATTAGAGTCCCACGAAACGTACACCGGTTGAATCGGTGTACGTTTATTTATTAACCAGCATATAATAATGGCAGAACAGGCTGCTAGACACTTGTACTTATAGGCGTTTGTCATCCCGGTCCTTATACTCAACGAAGTTTCATCCAGGAACTTATAATTATTTAAAATCAGTATTTTGAACCCCTCTGACCATTGACCGAGCATATGTGGCAACTTGATGACTGAGTTGTATAAAATGCGTATATTTCACGCGTATAACGAGCGTGAATGTAAAAATTTATATTAAAAATGATTAAAAAAAAAAAGAAGAAGAAGAAGACAAAAGAAATTAAAAAACAAAAACATACTGTAGTATGTTTCTTTCTGGGTTTTCACCGTGACCCACCCCTTCCCTTCCCCTGTTCTTTTTTCTCTTTATCCCCTCCCTTTCTCGTTCTTCCCCAGCCCTAGTACCAATTCTTTTTCTCCCCCCCCCCCCCCCCATTTCTCGTTCTTCCCCATCCCCTGTCCCATTTCTTTTTCTTTTTCTTTTTTTTCCCTTCCTGTTCTTCCCCAGCCCCTGCCCCTTTTCTTCTATTTAAAATATCTTTCATAGATCTGATTTTCCTTTGTACGGTCTAGTTAATTATCTGTTTGCTATTATTTGTTTGCTGTGTGAATATTTATTTTTAGTACAAAATAGTGTAATTTGATTGATAGAAATTTTTAATTTTTATTACTCTCGTATGGTTATTGTTATATAGGGATGAAGTTAAATTTACTAAAATATGAGGAACCCTTTTCTGGGAAGCAAGATTTTAATAGGGGAAGGAGCTGGATTTAAAGCTAGTGAAATCGAGAATGAGTGAAGATGGGCAAAAATGGCGAGAAGGGTAACGGAATTGGATTGCTACAATGGTTGACCAACTGTATTTTAGAGAAGAAAAATATGGCGGAGATAAGGTATTCAGGTAGAGGTGGGATAAGCATTCTTATGGAGGAATTGGGAATGGGAGAATACTGTTCATGGTGTTATCTGGTGGCTAGATTCAGGCTGAGGTTAAGGAGAGGATGATGGTGGAGAAGAAAGAAAAATAAATAAAAGGTTTAAAAAAAGGATGGAGGAAAGATAAAAAGTTTTTTTTTTCATGTAATATCTTTTTTAAATGCTGATGTGGCATTTTTTTATCTGACGTGGATTCTAGTACCATGCGATTGAGGGACACGCAGCGTCAGAAGTGTTCAAAATATTGACTTTGAATAAGTGTAAGTGCCTGAATGAAACTTTATTAATTATAGGAACCGGGATGACAAATGATAAGAAGTATAAGTATCTATTAGGCTATTCTGCCTATAATAATTGATGCAATATATAAGACCGGCATATCAGGTAGCCTGTAAAATATACAAGAATCTTTATACAGATTCTCTGCATCCATCAGTTACCTACTCTTCGGAATAATCCACTTCCCCTAATATTAATTTTCTCATCCAATTTAAAGAGTTAATAAAATTAAAAAGTTTAGTATCATATTCTTTTTAAAATTAGAAAAAAAAAATCCGTAATAATTGACGATTGTTTTTATACAATCAACATCTCTACATAAATATATAATACACAAATCATTAGTTCATTTTTCATAAAACAAAACAAACAGAAATAATTCTTTGAAGTCTTTTCATTATGTCTCTGCTTTCAGATCTCATCAACCTTAATCTCACTGAATCCACTGAGAAGATTATCGCTGAGTACATATGGTTAGTTTCTTCTTAATCATTTTTATAGGATTGCTCTGTTTCTGCAGTTAGATACACCCTCTATTTTTTTTTCTTTTTATCATTATTAATCTTATTAATGATTTTTTCGGCTCTCCTTTGGATATGATTATGACTTTTAGGATTCTTTTCTGTTACGATTAGGTTTATGTTTCACTGTTGTCCTGTTTGATCAGGATTTTACAGTGTGTTGTGATCTGTTCTTTTTCGTATATACTATGGTATTTTTTGAGTATATCACTGGAAGAGTTTATTGTTATCGATCAATCAATTCATTTTTCTTTGTTTATTTTTTTGTTTCTTCTGTAGTTTTCCTGTTTTATGATATGTTACTTTGGTATTAATTTCATAGTATTTTTGGTGGCATATGTTTATCTTCTTTAAAAAGGAAAATACAAGGACATTAAAAATGACTCTTTCTTCATTGAAGAAACATTCCCTTATTTTGCTTTCAGAAATGGATTATGCGTGGATCACAAAGGTCTATCTAGCATTATAAAGTAGGGTAGATTGCGATAAAAACTTACTCGGTGTTTATATCAAACCAAACAATTCAACGTTAATTGTTACAATTATAGTGAAGAAGTGAAGATAAGTATCACCGGACATATTTCTGCCGATGAATGATATACGGTCGCAATCCTTCAGATAGGAAAAAAAAGAAAGGGGGGCCGCCCAGTGCACTAAGCTCCTGTTATATGCGGGTTCGGGGAAGGACCGGACCACAAAGGCTATTTGCATGGCTTGAACCCGTGACCTCCTGGTCACATAGCAGCAACTTTACCAGTTGCGCTAAGGCTCCCCTTTCGGCCGCAATCCTTCTGATACACTTCAATTAAGATAGTGGTTTTATTTTTGTTTCTGTGAATACTTTTATTCTCATTTATTGTGTTTTTACGCTTTTTTTCTTTGTGCTTGGTATGTCTTTTTTGTTTCTTATAACCAGGATTGGCGGATCAGGCATGGATCTCAGGAGCAAAGCCAGGGTATTACATTATTTTATTAATCTTTTTTCAGATTAACATTTCCTTTTTTTCATTTTTAATTGCTTGAAGATTGCTAACTTGATACAAATTTTTTTTTATTTACAGACTCTTTCAGGTCCAGTTAAAGATCCTTCAAAGCTTCTCAGATGGAATTATGACGGTTCTAGCACGGGGCAAGCTCCTGGAGAAGACAGTGAAGTCATCCTATAGTAAGTTGCCTTCAGCGTGCTAAATTTTGTTGTCGTTCTCTCCTTTCTGAATAGAATTATCAATTATCTGACCATATATATTGTGAAATTTCAAATAGTCCTCAAGCAATTTTCAAGGATCCATTCAGGCGGGGCAACAATATTTTGGTGAGTTGGTCTATTTTTGTACCTATTAGATACTGTTAATTTCTGGATTCTATTTGGTAAAAGTGTATGTATAATTAAATTTTTTTTTTGTTGTTTTGTTAAGGTAATGTGTGATGCTTATACTCCAGCTGGTGAACCTATTCCGACAAACAAGAGACACCATGCTGCCAAGATATTCAGCAACCCTGATGTTGTTGCTGAAGAAACATGGTATCAGACAACTCTATTTAGATTTTAAACGAAAAAGTTTTTCTTCGATCCTTAATTTTTATTTTATTTGTTTAGAAATTTCCTGATTGTTCAAAGAACTTTGCCAATTAGGTATGGTATTGAGCAAGAATACACTCTGCTGCAAAAGGAGGTTAATTGGCCTCTTGGATGGCCTATTGGAGGTTTTCCTGGACCTCAGGTACTATTTTTAATATCTTCAACTTCTTACTTTGGGCTTATTAACTTGGTCAAAGATATGTTTACTCTGCACCCGAGGGTGTGACCAAGTGGTCAATAAAGTGGGTGAGAACCTGAGGCTTCAAATTCAAATCCCAGCGAAGGCAAAAAAACTAGGCGATTTCTTCATCTGTGCAAGCCTTAGTGGATGGAGTTACCTGATACCTGTTGCTGGTGGCAGGTATCCCGTGGAATTAATCGAGGTGCGCGTAAGCTGGCCTGGATACCATGGTTATAAAAAAATATGTGTTTTCTCTAGGTTGCTAGAATTTCCAAATAGGAAAAAGGAAACATGTGTTTGGAGATTTTGAGTTTTTTATTATCTGTTTGAAAGATTTCAAAAACTGAGCTTGAAATTTTTTTCAACATTTGAGTATCTTGATCATCAAATTATCTTTACAGATCATAAGATAACTGAATTTGGAGGAAATTTGATGATTTTGCAAACTCAAGAGCTTCCTCAATAAGTTATGTATCTGTGCTCATCTGTTTTTATTCTAATGATGTGAAGTTATATCACACTTTTAACCTAAAGAAATGAAATGTGGCGTTTCCCTTTACTTTGCATCAGTTTCCTGCAGTGTTATCAAAGGTGCGCTTAAAGCGCGCTTAAGCCCCGAAGCGAGGATCAAAACATGCTGAGCTCTTAGCCTCGCTTAAGCCCCGAAGCGAGGATCAAAACATGCTGAGCTCTTAGCCTCGCTTACCGCACGCTTCAGTGTTTGTCATCAAGGCTCCAAGGCATACTTTTCCTTGCCAATGAGCGTAACCGTGAAGAGGCGATACTAAACAATTGATATTTCACTTTATCGTAAATTTTCTTCAATTTCTTTGTCCATATATTTGGTATTCATGCTTATATAGATATTAGTGTTGGACTCACATACATATTTGTAGTTTTTCTCCATTTGTGCCTTTCTTCATCGAAGCCCACACTTTATTTGGCGCTTTGCGCTAAAAGCCCCAACAGACATTAGAGCTTTTTTGCGCTTTTCGCTTTTGGTAACACTGGTTTCCTGTAACATGGTGGAACTAAAAATTCGCTTCATTCGGAGTAACATGCTAAAACTGTAAAACCACTTTTTCTATTTTTCCCTTTGCTGTAAAGGGTGAAAGTTTTCAGAAAGAATTAATTTTATTGCATGTAGGGACCTTACTATTGTGGAACTGGAGCGGACAAGGCATTTGGACGTGATATAGTCGACTCACATTACAAGGCCTGTCTTTATGCTGGGATTAACATCAGTGGCATCAATGGAGAAGTGATGCCTGGACAGGTAAATAGCCCCGCTTCCCCTTCTTTATCCCCCAACTCCTTTTTAGGCAGAGACGAAAAGGAGTTGGGGGAAGTTCAGTAGGTTCAGAATGAGTGTGATCTTATTATATGTATCCGATCTAAGCTTTCTTTGCATATATATACATAGTTTGAACTGAACACAATGCTATAATTTTATGCAGTGGGAATTTCAAGTTGGGCCTGCAGTAGGAATCTCAGCAGGAGATGAGGTGTGGACTGCTCGTTACATTCTCGAGGTATTATACTTAGCTGTTGTAATTTCTTACCATTTCAATTTTTAAATCTAACTAAAATGTGGAGTTTGATTTTTACACTTGATCATTTGTATTGGTGTTAAACAGAGGATTGCTGAGATTGCTGGAGTTGTTGTTTCATTCGACCCAAAACCTATCCCTGTGAGCTTTCTGCTATTTATCTTTTTAAAGTTACTTTAAATGTAGGCTTTTTTAAAGACGTGTTGTATTGATCTACGCTCAGATAGTTGAATACTGCTTGCCATAAGCTGATGTTGGAGTTTATGTTTTACCCTTTGATTTTTAGGGCGATTGGAATGGTGCTGGTGCTCACACAAACTACAGGTAGAGTAGTCGTTTTTATTCTACTATACGATTATGAGACTATTTGGCTTAACTGATAAACATTAAGTAGTGAAACTGATTTATGAATAAGTAGTTACGTGTTTGGATAGAAGTGCTGCAACTGATTATATCGTTATCCAACTTCCCTTCCCCTCTCGTCTCCCTTTCTCTATGCGAGAGTATTAATTTGGAATGTTTCTTTCAGCACCAAGTCTATGAGGGCTGAGGGAGGGTATGAAGTGATCAAAAAGGCTATCAAGAAGCTTGAACTGAGGCACAAAGAGCACATTGCTGCATATGGTGAAGGCAATGAGCGTCGTCTCACTGGAAAACATGAAACAGCAAACATCAACAGCTTCAAATGGGTACGTAAACTGTGGTCTTCCCTACTTAATTATCTTTTAATTCCATCTCTTCCCACTCAAACCTGCAATGCCGGTTGCTTTGGAACTTCAAGAATTTTATTGATTTTCAGCTACATCGTCAATGTTACCAAATGACTATATGGTTTTCCCTTATATCAGCACTTGGATGGAAGAACTATTTTGATTCCTTGATTACAAAAACAATCTTTGTTCCTTTTCTGTTCACCTACAATTCTAGTGCAATGTTGACATCAAGCATCAAGAATATTTCAATTACAAATATTTGGCAAAAGAGTTTAACTTATGTGCACCGCCTGTTCATATCAAGTCTGATATGGTAATCTGGCAATAACATGCTATAACACGCTGTAATAGTTTAAGTCGATGTATATAAGTTAGAAACTAAATATGTCTCGAGTGTGTCATTTATGTTACTGCATTTCTTTTGTTCAGGGAGTTGCAAATCGTGGCGCTTCTGTTCGTGTTGGCAGAGATACAGAGAACGCGGGGAAGGGATACTTCGAGGACAGGAGGCCAGCTTCGAACATGGACCCGTATGTTGTCACTTCCATGATTGCTGAGACTACCATTATCTGGAAACCTTGATCTGTGCGTAAGTGTCTGAAGGAATGTTGTTTCTTGAATCAAATAACTGAATCTTGGAACACCCTTTTCCCTCCCTTGTCTTTAATAATTTAGTTAATGTAGATTATTCTATTATCTTCTACTGTTTCCTTTGCATTTCATTAAGCAAGGTTGATTTCACTTCCTATGATTTGGCAATAACAATGCTATTTTTATTAGTTTGGTTTATTTCTTGCTGATCAGAAGTGCAGATCACTGCTCGGTTTATTTAGAATTCCTATTTTTCATTTTAAAGTCTTCATCTCAATCTTCGAAAATCTTTAAACTTGAGGATTAAAACATCATCAACCTAAGTCTTCACCCTTTTATGTTATGTTTTCTCTAATGGAACGAAGACTAGCAATATGTTATTTCCGGAACAAAATGGTTTATTATCTAACATTCTTTTTTTTTTTTAATAATCATATTGTTTGAGTCGATTTGCATGCACCTGAGACCTCATGGTTTTCAACCACCGTTATTATCCTTAGCTTCTTATTGGGTGCATACATAACTTTGCATCTCCCGCAAATCGGTGCCACGAGGGCCTTTTATACTTAGTTTCTTTATTATAAAGTTCATGATTTTAAAAGTAATAAAATGAATAAAATTTTAGGTGATTCGGGTCCGGTTGCCTGGACCCACGCGCGTGGGCTATAGCACACGAAAATCAGGGAATCGAGCAGAATTCCTCTTTTATGGCCCTAAAACGCTAAAAAATGAGAAACATTCATGGCGAGGCGATGACTAATTTTTTATGAGCCGGCAAAATTTTAGGCAATTCGTGTCTAGTAGCCCGGACCCATGCAGATGGTGTGAACTATAGCACACGAAAATTTGGGAATTGGACGGAATTCCAGTTTTATGACCCTAAAATGCCAAAAAAAGAGGAAGGATCATGGCGAGGCAATGACTATTGTTCTTTAGGTGGTTTTTGATAGGCTGGCAAAATTTTAGGCGATTCGGGTCCGGTCTCCCAGACCTATGAATTTTCATAAATCAATACAGATGCGCCGTTGTAGTTTTCATAAAGTAATTATAGTTTGCCTATTTGCTATTCGTAGCTAATGTTCGATTGTTACCGGCTTGTAAGTTGTATTCAAAGACGCAATAAATACAACTTGTGTCAACTGTATTTGTTCTCGCAACGAATACGATTATATCAACTAAGAGTCAAACTCTAGACTCCCGCTTGCTGGGCGGATGCTCTAACCAACTGAGCTACAAGAGCTTGTTGCTCTTTTGTTTCAGTTTAAAACAATTGATCTTTTATTTCATGGAATTGCTATAAATATCAAATATAGCTACGAATGGTATTTACAGTGTATTATTTAATATATCTCCTAATTTTTCCTATATATATAAAAGCTACTCCCTCCGGTCCACAATAAGTAATTTTTTGGCTTTTTTTTTGTGGTCCAAAATACCTGATTTTTCCAGATTTCAAGAATGAATGAATTAATTTTTTTTATACATTGCCCTTGGAGTAAATAGTGTTGGAGTATGTGTTAGGAGAATTTATGTGAAGAGATAGTAAAGATTAATATGGTCAATTTTATTGCTAATTAATGTTGAAATATAAATTTCTTAATCTGTATAAAAACAATCAAAAAATTACTTGTCGTGGACCGGATAGAGTGTTAGCGTAATGGCAAAGATGGTTCTGCTTCTTTGTGGACCACTACTGCTGTTTTTTGATGGGAAATTTTCGTATATATACCATATATGAAACTATATTACCAAATATGTTCATAGTTTGCATATTACCATTTATGCTAATAGTATTTCTACATAATATATACAATGCATTAAATAAGGTGTCACGACCCCAACCCCGGTCGTGATGGCTCCCAACACACTGCTAGGCAAGCCCGACCAATTAACAACCTTAACCTAATTCATTATACAGTTCATTATTAGCTACACAATTAAATTACCAAATCAGCATATCAGAAGTCTGAAATAAGAGTTAAATGTGCGAAAATTCAAATAGCAATACTACTACATAGCCCAAAAGATCCGGTGTCACAAGTCTGAGCCTCTAATACAGGTTTATCAATCTAATACATGTCACTCTAGGGAAATACGAAATAAAAACAAAGGATAGAAGGGAGGGATCAGGGCTGCGGATGCCATGCAGCTACCTCGATGCTCCTAGATATGCGCTGCTCAACAGAAAATCCTCACTCAGCCTCAGGTGCACCTGGATCTGCACGCAAGGTGCAGGGAGTAATGTGAGTACTCCGATCCAGTGAGTAATAAACATAAATAAAGGCTGAGGATAAGAAATCATGGATAAACACATTGTAATCTATAATGCGACAGTTTAAACCAAGTAGTATGAAATCAATAAACCAGTGAAGTAGAAACACGGAAAAGCTACAACAGATAAGCAAATAAATGATAACCAAATAAAGGAATGCAGCACATAGTACGGTACTCTCTAGTACCCGCTGCGGCGTGTAGCCCGATCCATTTATTTATCGTCGACGACGCTCACTGGGGTGTGCAGACTCCGGGAGGGGCCCCCTATGGCCCAAGCGCAATATCAAGCCATCTCGTGGCATCAGCTAGGCCCTCGGCCTGATATCAATATCAATATAATACTGCTGCAGCGCGCAGCCCTTTCAATACTCAGTCTAGAATTCACATAAGCCCCTCGGGCAATAATAAAATAGTAGTTCTCAGCCCAAAACATCATTTAGTATATCTTTTAGTTTTAAAATCCGAGTAAAGATGGCTGAGTTGTAAAATAATAGAAAACGGTACGACTGAGTTCAAGTAATAAATCCATACAGTGAGGATATAGTGATAAAAACTCTCCGAAGGGTTCAAATAGTTGGCATGAAGCCCAAATATAAAAATCAATACAAATAATGATGACAACAAATAGGCTTCAATCAAATAAGCGGTACGAACATCACTCAGGACGGACCAAGTCACAATCCCCAATAGTAACGACCCCGCGCTCATCATCAAACGTGTGTCTCACCTCAATATAGCACTACGATGTGCAAATTCGGGGTTTCAAACCCTCAGGACATCATTTACATTCATTACTCACCTCAAACCGGCCAAAACTTTAGCTCGCTATGCCCTTGCCTCTCAAATCGGCCTCCTCGCGCGTCGAATCTGACCAAAACCAGAGCAAATACGTCACAATATGCTAAAGGAACAAAATCCAATCGAAAACAATCGAAAAATATCAAAAATCCCGAAATTAGCAAAACCCGAGCCCCTGACCCACTTCTCGAAATTCAAAAATTTTGACATCAACGGATTCCTTATCTCGCCACGAGTTCACACATATCAAAAACACAAGAATCGGAATCCAATTGACCCCTCAAATCCTTAATCTTAGCACTCTTAAGTTCAAGCCCTAAACCTCCATTTTTAGTCCATAAATCCCTAAATTTTCAGTAACAATTCATGAAATAACACCATAGGATTGTGTTTTGAGGTCCAAAACCCTTACCTTATCGAAGCTCCTTGAAATCCCTCTTCAAAATCGCCTAAAAATCTCCAAGTCCGAAGTTAAAATGAACAAACCCTTCAAAAATCGCGAAGAAGAACCTTTTATACCTTCTGCCCAGTCGAAACCGCATCTGCAGTCAATTACCCGCTTCTGAGGGACTGCTTCTGCGGAAATATTCCGCATCTGCAGAGATTCATTAAAACTCCGCCTACGGCATCTACGGTCCAGTAGTCGCATCTGCGGCTCCGCAGGTGCGGTCCTCCTTCCGCATCTGCGGCTCCAGGCCTTCCTCAGCCCCTCCGCTTCTGCTATACCAAACCCGCATCTGCGATACCACACCTGCGGTCCCCAAGCCGCAGGTGCAAAAATACCAGCAACAACAAAAATCAAAAATTTGCCCAAGTCCAAAACTCCCCGTTAGCCATCCGAAATCACCCCGAGGCCCTCGGGACCTCAACCAAAAGCACCAACACATCCTAAAACATTATCCAGACTTGTTCCAATCACTAAAACACCTCAAACAACACCAGAACTATCAAATTACAACGAATTCAAGCCTAAGTTCTTCTAAAACTTCCGAAACACGCATTTGATCAAAAACCCAACCAAATCACCTCCGAATGACCTGAAATTTTACGCACACATCCCAAATAACCTAACGGAGCTACAACAACTCTCGAAATTCCATTCGGACCCTCGGATCAAAATCTCACCTATCAACCAGAAATTGCTAAAATACTAACTTCGCCAATTCAAGCCTAATTATACAACGGACCTCCAAAACCACTTCCAATCACAATCCTAAGTCACAAATCACCTCACGAAGCTAACCGAACCATCGGAATTGACATCCGAGCCCTCTAACTCATAAGTCAACGTCCGGTTGACTTTTACAACTCGAGCATTCTTAAAAGAGCCTAAGTGAGTCATTTCTTACCAAATTCACTCCGAACTCAAACCAATCAACTCGACCACATAAAAACACGGGTAACGAAGCATAAAGAAGCAGAAATAGGGGAAACGAAGCGGTATCTCATGAGACGACGGGTCGGGTCGTCACATCCTCCCCAATTTAAACAAACGTTCATCCTCGAGCGAGTCAAGAAACATACCTGAAGCATCAAATAGGTGAGGATATCTGCTCCGCATCTCCTGCTCGGTCTCCTAGGTAGCCTCCTCCACGGGCCGACCTCTCCACTGCACCTTCACTGAAGCTATATCCTTCGACCTCAACTTTCAAACCTGATGACCCAAAATAGCCACTGGCTCCACATCAAAGGTCAAATCATCATCCAAGTGAACCGTGCTGAAGTCCAACACATGAGACGAGTCCCCAACATACTTCCGGAGCATAGAAACATGAAATATCGGGTGCACACTCGACAAGCTAGGTGGCAAAGCAAGCATATAAGCCACCTCCCAATCCTCCTAAGTACCTCAAAATGCCCAATGAACCGCAGACTCAACTTCCCTTTCTTCCCAAATCTCATAACACCCTTCATGGGCGAAACCTTCAGTAATACCTTCTCACCAACCATGTAGGATACATCTCGAACCTTCCTGTCCGCATAACTCTTCTGACGTGACTGCGTTGTACGAAGTCTCTCCTGAATCACCTTCACCTTCTCTAAGGCATCCTGAACCAAATCTGCCCCCAATAGCCTAGCCTTGCCGGGCTCGAACCAACCAACTGGAGATCTATATCGTCTCCCATACAAGGCCTCA